GCACACTGGTGGCCGTTCTGCTCCAAGAGGCTCGGACAGAGGCGGGGCGGCACAACACAACGACCAGGAGCAGGGCGCGCATGACCCCTCCTCCCCCGCAGGCACGTGCCACACGGCCAGAATTCACCAGTCCAAGCCCACTCGTGAGGCGACAGAGACGCCTGAGTAGCCTTGGGCGGCTTGATGAATTGAACACCAATTGAACACCAGTTAAATCAAGGACGGCCTTGGACACTTGAATGTCTCGCTCCACGCGAAACAGAACATCTGGCGAGGCCTGGGGATGGACTCCGGCACCTTGCTTCGCAGCAGGGTCGGCATGAAAGTTGCCAGTTCTGCGCCAAGCCTCCTGCACAGAAATCCCAGCCTCATCCGACTCTTTGTGCGCGGCGACTTTAACCAGGCCCTGGAGTTTGGGTCCCGCCCCAGAGAAAGCTTCCAGCACCGAGTCCGCGTAGGCCCGATGCCCCCCGAGGCGGTCCCAGGGATCCCTGGAACAGACCGAGACGACCGACGCGCAGTCGGAAAAAAGAGACGCAGGCCCGTCCAAGTTGACTCCAGCTGCGGCCAACAAGGAAAACTCACCAGCCTGGGACGACTGCAGCAAGTGAGCCCACACGGGCCCAAAAACTCTGGCCAGCATGTGGCCTTGTTCCGACATCAGAACGAAGGCCCAGTGGTCAACTCACGAATTTTGGACTGGAAACAGCTACCGTCCAGGAAAAGATTGCCTTCGAAACGAACCTGCTCGGGCCCAGGATACTCCAACCCCGAATCCAGGAATCCGAATCCAACCCCGAATCCAAAAAAACATGCGGACCCCATGCAAACCACAGGTGATCGTTAGACAATTCAGACATGCAGGCTACACGTCCGTGTTGGAGCAGTTCCATTTTCACTCGACAGCTGGACAGTGTCCATTCGAATGGAACGCACTACCCATATCAACGCGATGCGTTGTTCTACGAGGGGCACCAGTACAACTACCATCCCAGTTGGCAACTATGCAATTTCCATGTACGGAATGATAAACACCCAATGTGTGCAAATGACACACCAACCCCACACCACATAGTAAGGAAACCCTCGTTCTCAAATGCCATGTAACAGCTATGTTGCGCAACTTGCGCACATGAGGCCTGCTTGTTGGCTCCACAACGCTTTCGTATATGTAAATTGTGAGCTCCCTACTAGGAGTTGACAAATTTTCTTATGAGCATCGGCGCTCCATGATTGAGTATTGCACAGCTCGCTAATGGGATTTCCACAGCTCTCACAAAGAAGTTGAGCAATATTCCGATGACAACAGAGTAACGCGAAGCACTACGAAACTGTCGTGCGAAAGTTGTCCGGTTCTCATACGAAAATCAAAAGGTCCAGTAGGATTCAGGTCCACTGTACATGTCCCGAACAACACAACTCCCAAGTGGAAGAAAGTAAACTACTACTACCTTTGCCAACTCTGGCGCGCATGCTGTCTGTCAAAACAACTGCGTGCTCCTAAGAGCTGCATTCGATCTCTGAATCATCTAAAACAATCCGAGCCTACGGCTCAAGATGGCTAGCTGTAAGTGATACTGCTTGGTTCTTCGACTGTTGGAATTGGCACCTGTCGATTGGAATTGGTACCGGCCAGTTGGGATCGGCCCGACATGCGCTCTGAACCCCTCCCACCGTTCGAAGTGGCAGCAGTCTGTTTCCACCCCTCCATCCCCAGTTCGAAGCAGGAGGGGGGGGCTTGTCCGTAACAGCAGACAGCGCTCTCCCTTTATTCTCGACAGCGCGCGGTCCCTGCAAACCTCGACCCTTTTGCCGGGGGCCAGTTTTTCATCCCGGGCCGTTTCTTGACGGTCCTTGGGGCCCACGCGAGGGCCCCCAGAGGCCGACAACGGAGAACGACCTCCCGTTGTATTATTTTTTTGCTTGCGACGCGAACGAGTCTTGGCTGAGAAGGATAGGGGAACAAAAAGTGACAGAAACATACAAACTCAGAGGTCCGCGCGGATTTCTCGGATCGGCGCTGGACCCCCCTCCCGAGAAATCCGCGCGGACCTCCGAGTTGTTTTATGTTTATGCCACGTTTTGCTCCCCCCTACAGGAGGCCCCGCGCTTCCCCTGCGATGGCGCTGCCTCTCGCTGGCCTGCCTGGCGGGAGGCGCCCGGCGACCTCCGGCGGGCTGCGCCGGCGACCTCCATGGGGGCCCGCGGCGGCCGCGGCCCGCCGGCCGCCCCTCGAGGCGGGGCGTGCAGGGCGGAGGAGCCGCAGGGCGGAGCGTGCAGAGCCCGGCGCGTAAGGAGGGGGCTCGAGAAAAAGCTTCGGGGCACCAGCTCTCCAGGAGAGGCTCCTCCTGGGCCTGTATAGCAGCTGCCAGAGCGGCCCAGGAGGATTCTCTGTGATCGATTGGCTCCGCCAGGGCAAGTGCCCAGGGGCCCACCCGGAGGGACCGCCGTGCAGAGCGCAGTCGCGAGGCGGCATCGTCGGCCGCTTCTGTGAGGGGCAGCGAGGGGGGGGAGCAGGCACAGGGGGGGACGCATCGACCTGGAATCGGCAGTACATTGCCAATAGGTCGGCGAGGGGCCCCCGAGTTAGTGAGCCCGCACCTCCCTGCGCAGCTCGGGGAATCGGGCCCCTATCGGCGATCAATGGGCGATTCCGGGTCGATGCATCCAATGCCGTGCCTGTCCCCGTCCTCGGTGGTTTTCGGGCCCTAACTCGGGCCTCCGGCGGCCGTTCGGGACGATCCAGGGACCCCCAGAACGCCCTCGGCGAGGCGCAGCCGCTGGAAAGCGCCCCGAGGCCGGAACGCCGCCGAGAACCGCCGAGAACGTCCCAAAAGTTCGGATCTCGAACCTGATCCTGTCGCTGCCCCTGTCGCTGCCCCTGTCGTTGCCCCCGACCTTCCCCACGACACTGGCGCCGCCCCGTGGGGAGGTGCCCATCCCGCGCTCTCTATCGTTGCGCCTCCCGCCCGCTCGGCCTTGGAGTGCCGGTGGCGCTTCCCGCACCCGCGCCCTCTCTCCGCGCTCTGGCCTCCGTGGCTGCCTGCCCGGGCGCTCTGCGCTGCGGCTGCTCGGCTCGACCGCCGGGCGCGCGTCGCGCGGCGGGCTCTGCCGCACGGAGACGGGGCACTCCGCCGACCCCGCAGGGCGCCAAAGAGGTGGTGAGCAGTACGTCTGAGGCAGCAGCAGGAGACGAGAGGGATCCACTCGTGAGGCAGGACGAGGGAGGAGGAGGAGCAGGAGGAGGAGGAGAAGGAGGTGGAGGAGGACGAGGAGGAGGTACAGGGGGAGGAGGAGGAGGAGGAGGAGGAGGAGGAGGAGGAGGAGGAGGAGGAGGAGGAGGAGGAGAAGGAGGAGGAGGAAGAGGAGGAAGAGGAGGAAGAGGAGGAGGAACAGGAGAAGGAACAGGAGAAACAGGGGGAGAAGGAGGAGGAGGAGGAGGAGGAGGAGGAGGAGGAGGAGAAGGAAGATGAGGAGGAGGAGGAGGAGGTATGAGAAGGGATGAAGGAGAAGGTGGAGGATGAGGAGGAGGAACTCGGCGCACTGCTGCGTCAGGAGCGACCTGGTTGATGGTAGGCGGAGGGGAAGCAAGCCCTGCCAGGGCACCGGAAATCAGGCAAGAAAATCATGCGCCTGCCCTGGGAGGAGAGGGCCAGCGGGCCCTTGCCGGGCCGACCCACACACCCCGAGCTTCACTGCCTCCTGAAGTGGAGGCTCGACCACAGGAAACCTTCCACAAGAAACCCAACCCTGAGATCTCAGGAAGTCCATTGATTTTTGGTGTGGGAACACGCTTTCCTTGTTGTTTCCACTACAACCAGCTCAGTACAGCCTCTGGTAACCGGGTGGGTCGCTTAAACGTGACCCAGGGGCGACATGTTCCCCAGATGAGTGGCGAACGCCGCGCATCTTATGTACACTAGTGTGCTACCAGTCAGAATCATTGTCCCGTCGAAGCGCAACGAGGCATGAACCAGAGCGAGCGTGGAAAACTCATACATTGATTTGAGGCCGGCTGTCCATGGCAAAACAATCGAAACCCAAGAAACCCAGGGCACCCTGGAGGCAAGCAGGGTGTCTCTTGGCATGGGTCTCCACTTTGCTGGTTCGATCAGAGATGCGCCAGACCGCGAAGTACACCTGGGGCAGAGGCCGACCGCCGTGTGGGCTCCTGGCGACGGCCCTCGATGAGGCAGGGGAGGAAAACAAGAGGCAGGAGGAGCAGGAGGAGCAGGAGGGCTCCGCGAGGGGGGGGGGGGGAGCACTGGGGAGGGAGGCGGAGGAGGGCGTCGGACGAGGCAGGAGAGGGGGGAACATCGGGTGAGGGGAGGCGGCCGCACGGAATCTAGCGCTCGCGGGAAACCAGGCCCCTCTTCGCCGACGGGAGAGCCGGCCCAAGCGCGAATAATGATGAGGAGGAGGAGGAACAGGAGGAGGAGGAGGAGGAGGAGGAGGAGGAGGAGGAGGAGGAGGAAGTGGAGGAGGAAGGGGAGAGATAGGAGGAGGAGGTCGAAGAGGAGAGAAGATGGAAGATGCACGAGACAGAAGTCAAGAGGAAGGAGGAGGGCGAGAGGGGATGAGGAAGGAATAAAGGAAGGGCAGAGGGGAGGAACACCGTCGGAGGTACCGCCCACCATTGGATCGAAGCCTGGAGCTGGAATGTAAGGGCACGCCGCTCCTGCGAAATTATCTTAACCTGCTCAAGGACCCCCTTTCACCGAGATAGGTGAACCCTAGCAAACGATTCAACGCATATCATAAAGCGTGGAATAAAAAGAGTCGACACATTAGAACGACATGGATGAGGAGATGCAGACTGATAATATTAATGCGAAGAAGAGAGAAGAGGAGGAGGAGGAGGAGGAGGAGGAGGAGAAGGAAGAGGAGGAGAAGGATGTGAAGGGGAGGAGGAGGAGGAGGAGGAGGAGGAGAAGGATGAGGAGGAGGAGGAGGAGGAGGAGGAGGAGGGGGGAGAGGAGGGAGAGGAGGGGGAGGAGGAGGAGGAGGAGGAGGAGGAGGAGGAGGAGGAGGAGGAGCAGGGGAAGGAGTGAACGTATCTCAAGACAATAACACAAGATCGTTTCTCAGAGGCGTCGGCGTCGGCAAAACTACGGTGCAACCCACCACCGTCGGCAGATACCTTTCACCCATCACCAAGTCTACCAGAGGCGCTTCGAAGTCGAACTCCGCCAGCTTTTGATAGAGGTTCGCCAAGGCTCTGCACGAACGCCCAGCGCGCAGTGCAGCCGGAGCACCAAGGCAGAGGCGTCAACCTCGCAGACCACGTCGCCACGCTGCCGTGCAGTGTGCCTCGCCATCGTGCGCATCGGCCCACGGCTGCTTTCCCTCGGTCGCCTTCACCATGGGCGCCCCCGTCGGTCGCCTTCACCTGCGGCGTCGTCCTCGTCCGCCTGCCTCCGCCTCCTCCTCTAGGACTCTAGAGGCCTCCTAGATGGGGTCCGAGTAGTGATGGTCGGAGGATCTCGCCGCATCGTCAATATATCGGCGATGCATTGCCGATGCATCGGCGATGCATCGGCCATGCACTGGCGACGTCGGCGATACATCCGCGACGTCGGTGCGGCGAAAATTTGGCCCCACATCGGCAATGCGGCGAGTCCCTCTGACCCTATATACTCCGACCCCATCTTGGAGGCCTAGATCCTCCTCATCCTCCTCCTCCTCCTCCTCCTCCTCCTCCTCCTCCTCCTCCTCCTCCCCCTCCTCTCCCTCCTCTCCCCCCTCTCTCCTCCTCCTCCTCCTCCTCCCCCCCCTCCTCCTCCTCCTCCTCCTCCTCCTCCTCCTCCCTCGGATCTGGGAGTCCAGAGTCCAGGGTCCTCGACCCTCGAGCGTCGGACCTTCGAGGGCCTCGGACTCGCGGCCACTGCGCTTCGCGCCACCTCCACGACGACCGCGCCGCGCCAGCGCGACGGCGCCACCGCCACCTGCCCTCACAGGGCTGCGCCGCCTGCACGGGGAAACGAGCAGCACGTCACTGGGCTCGGCCCCTGGGTCCGCCCCCGCCCGTCCGCCGTGAGCTGCACCGCGCTGGCCACCTGGCCACCACGGGGCGCATCACGGGTGGCACCACACATAGGTGTGTGCGTGTGTGCGTGTGTGTGTGTCTGTTGGTGGCGACATCCGAACCCTGCCCCCCTGTCATCCTGGCGTTGCATCTTTTTCACGGTGGGCGCATTCGCTAAACGTCGGGCCCCGGCACCCTCACACATCGATCCAGCTCGAAAAATGACGCAGAAAGATGGGGTCCGCGGCTTCGGTCGTGATTTCCTGCGATGTTGCAACTTTTTTGCAACGCCAGATCTCAGAGTCCCACAAACAGCGACTCCCCCTGAATCGATGAGAGGCGGGGGTGCGGTCCAGTTCGACGAATTCCGAATCCTACCCCCGCCGCCAATCGAGATGCCTGAATCGTTGATCGGCTAGGGTAGGGCTTGAATTTAGACCCCCTGTGTGTGTGTGTGCGTGCGTGCGTGCGTGCGTGCGTGCGTGCGTGCGTGCGTGCGTGCGTGTGTGCGTGTGTGCGTGTGCTTCTGTGCGTGCGTGCGTGCGTGTGCGTGCGTGTGCGTGTGCGTGTGCGTGTGCGTGTGCGTGTGCGTGTGCGTGTGCGTGTGCGTGCGCGTGCGCGCTGCAACCAATGAAAAAAAGGGCCTCTTCCACTCGCGCATGCTCGCCTAGCGCTGCCACGCACCCGCGAGGTCCTGCGAGGCTCCATGCTCTGGTGGGCATCCCACGCTGGCCGCCTCGCCGTGGCGACGGGCCCTCGGCCGGCGGAAGGCGAGTGTGGCCATCGCTCCTCCGCGCAGGCATGCCGCCTTTCGAGAGGCGAGCCGGGCACCCCAACCGCGAACGTAATCATCCTCTCGGGGCGCGCAGGTTCGGTCTCTCGGGACGTCCTTTCGGGGCGCGCGAACGTGATCTCGGGACGTCCTCTCGGGACGTCCTCTCGGTATTCATCCTCTCGGGGCGCGCGAGCGTAATCTGGGCCGCCACACGCCCTCAAAGCACTCCTGGGAGGGTATCCCTAGCTGGTGCATCCGTGGCAAAAGGATGTGCCGAACGACGCGTCATGGCAGCCAAGGGGACCTGGACATGCTGCGCGATCTGGCCCTGATTACCTTTTGCAGAGTCGGTGGCAACGCTCCCTGAACTGTCGTGGGGTTCGTCCTTGGGGACTGTGGTGAACACGAGCGACTGCATCTGTGGCAATATCAAGAAGGGTGCAGATCAAGAGAATACGCATCATCAAGCATCATGTTGATAAGGAGACCGAAAATGCGAGCATGGCCAATATCCAGCGCACTGTCTGGCTCCCGAAGGCTCGTCCGCGAAGAAGCGGCGTCGCAAACTGTACGCGCAAGCGAAATCGAATGCGATGACGCACAGGCGCGGCATTGGAACCGTTGCGCAGACAAGGAGGAGGAGGAGGAGGAGGAGGAGGAGGAGGAGGCAGCAATCGAGAAGGGTAACTTAACAAACAGTGCCGAAACTGCAGCAAACCTGGCCTTTGCAAGAGCCAAATTCGAACAACAATGGTGCACAAATTGGTGTTTCGTCGAACTAATGGATAGTAACGTATAACGCTTGTACATATACTAACATGCTGCTTTTTTGTTCAATATATTCGACTCAGGTTTCAATGTTGGGGTACATCAATTCTGTGATCGATCCCCCAGCTGACGGAGGAGAAGGAGGAGGGCCAGCAGGGAGAGGAGCAGGAGGATGGGGAGGCGTCGCAAATCCTCTGGTGCAGACCGCACGTGAATGCCCTGCAGATCACGTGGCTCTAACTGCAACCCTTGCTGCTGGAGGGAGCGGGCGCGGCCAGCAAGAGAAGCATTTCAGGCGGAGACGGCGGGAACGCCAACGAGAGAAAGAATGAATGAGGGAATCGTCTGAGCGTAAGCCGCATGAACATAAAAGTTTCGGATGCCCGCGAACGGTTTCTCAGCCGGCGCCGGGTACTTTCTCCTCACCTTGTCGTCCGCGGACGCCTGAAGCCTGTGGTATCCTGTGTTATCATCTTTCTCTGCAGCTGGGGGGGAGGGGAGAGGATGGGGCAGATTTCAGACGTCTGCTAGCGCGGCGAACACTCCCGCCCATTGGGACGACCGGGCAGCGCTGCATCCTACGAAACCTGCGCGGAGCGCCCGGCCGCAGATCGAACCGCGTAGGTTCGATCGCCGAACGTGCGCGATACGCTGTGAAGCAGGCTCGCTTTGCGAGCCGAGCCACTGCATACCTTTTGAATTCCCCTGCTGGGATTGCAGCAGGGTGGACAGGGTCCAACGTAGCTCTGCGTCAGAATTCTTAAACCAGCTCCAGGATGACTGTTCATGGTGTCCGTGCGCGGTGCCCTCGGATAGCCTTCCATACGCGCGCCTCCCTGTCTATCTCGGCGGGACAATTTTGGCGACTTGCTGGTCTACCACGCGCACCATGGACTGAAAGGACGCAACTGCAGCCACCCAGTCGTACGCGCACACGCACACACACTATGGTCTTGCAGCGGCCGCTCTGATAGACCGCGAGCAACCGCCGACGCAAAGCCCAGGCGGGCCGCGGGGACCGCCAGGCAGGCTGCTCAGCTTCAGAGGGGAAGTTCAAAGGAGCTCCGCGAACCCACACCTCCGACATGACCCTCCAAGCATCACAACATGCCCTCCAGATGCTCCAGAGAGGCCACCAAGAGACCCCCACAGAGACCCCCACAGAGACCCCCACAGAGACCCCAAATGGCCTTAAGAGGGTTCCGAATATCCCCAGGACCACAATGTGGCTCCAAGAGGCCCCCTGCCCAAGAAACCTTCACCCGTTCTCCCTGTCACTTCCACGAGCAAACAGCAATACCCCACCAGCCCTTGAGGGCGTGAGCGGTTTAGGGCGCTTCCTCTTCCATCCCCCTTGTCCGTCCCCTTCTGGGAAGGGTTTGCCATTGCTCGTTAATAATGAACACCTCCTCCCCCGCCCGATTGCGGGCTAACACGGGACATGCCCCCCCCACCACCACCATCGCTTTCAAAAAACAATGCAGAACGCACACTGCCTCTCAATCTCGAGAATGCGCGGGTGCCCCACGACCCTCCTGCATTGGTTTTTGACATGAAGGCGAGAGTGCCGGCATGCTGCTTGTTTTACACAAGTTGCGCGCAAGCCGACCGCCCCCATCAAAAAACAATACTGAATGCAGTTTGCCTCCAAATCTGGAGCACGCACGGGCGCCCCGCGACCACCCTGCATGGTTTTTGATAAGGATGGCGAGCGTGCTGGCAGATTCCTTGAAGCGCGCAGGCCAACCATCCCTGTCAAAAACAACGCAGAATGCACATTGCCTCCAACTCTGGAGCACGCGCGGGTGCCCAATCCACCACTTTCATTTTCTGTTGGCACTTGTCGCGAGCAAGTTGCGCGCAAACCAACCGTCCCTGTCAAACAAAAAAACATACAGTGTGCACTTTGCCTCAAAAACTGGAGCACGCGCGGGCGCCCCGCGACCACTCTGCACTTGTGTTTGAAAGGGGGGGCGGGGCTGCCGGCGTACCACTTGATGCGCGCAGGCCAGCCATCCCTGCCAGCAGAACAACACACAATGCACTTTGCCTCCAGCACTGGAGCACGCGCGGGCGGCCCATCCACTACAGTTCATTGGCTTTTGGCAAGGACAGGGGGTGGGCGGCGGATTCCAGAACGCGCAGAGAGGACCTCGCGGCCCTTCAATTCCCCAGTCCCGTACCCACTATCGGTCGGCATTCCGTTTGCTTCGTGGTGGATGGGTAGTTTGTAATGCTGTAGCTGAGAGAAGCACCTCAAGGCCCCGCTGCGCAGACCACGTAGGGTCCCATTTCGCTATGCCTGCATGGTCCCACCGCTCAGGGGGTTGCAGGGCCGACATGGGAACAGCACTCGTCGATGCCAGGCTCGTCGTCCTCCCGATTGTGCGTGTCAACGGCGTCTGTCCACGTCGTCCCACGGCGTCGTCGGTGCACCTGAACCCGTGGCGCACATGGCATGTGTGGCACTCCTCGGCGATGTGCTGAGACTCGGGTACTACGTATGTGTTGGGAAGGCGGGTGGGAGTGAGCGAGACGGTTTGCGGTCGCGGGGGGGCCTCGACCCCTCCCCCTCCCCCTCCCCCTGGACCTGGACGGGGCGTTTCGCGAGGCGTCGGAACGTCCAAGATGGCCTCGGTGAGAAGGCCACAATCATTTAGGCTACAATGGTGTTAGGCCCATTTTGGCCCCAAGGGGGGTGGGCGACGCTGATTGAACACACACCCCTTCTTTGATCGATCTCCTCCAGGACGGCCCCAAGACGGCCCCAAGGCGGCCCGTAAGGCTCCCAAGATGGCCCCGAGACGACCCCAAGGGGCGCCCAGGAGGTCCCAAGATGCCCCCAAGATGCCCCCAAGAGGCTCCCAAGAAACCCCCAAGAGGCCCCAAGAGGCCCCGCCAAGGCAGCCAAGACTCTTCAAGAGTCCCACAGGGCCGCCAAGATGCGCCCAAGACGCCCCAACAGGCCTACAAGAAGCTCTTGAGACATCCGAAGAGACTCCGAGAAGCATCCAAGAGGCATCTGGCCTTCCAGTTCGCCCTCCTCCTCTTCCTCTTCCTCATCCGCCGAATCCTCCTCCTCCATCCTCCCTTCTACCCTCCTCCCACCCCCTCCTCCTCCTCAAGCTATTCCTCTGGTTCCTCCTGGATCATCCCCCCTCTTGGGGTATGACGTCTTCCCAGCCTTTACTTCCCTGCGTGCTCCCAGACATGCTCGATCAAGGCAACTCGCCTGGGCATCGTTCTGGATGGGCTGGTGGGATTACGCGAAGCGTATCGAATAAGCAGAAGGCCATGGACTGGCCTACCCATAAACCGCAGGAAGCTGCACAAAGACCTCTGCAACACAACTCTGACGCAACCGCACCCTTCAAAAAACGTAACGGTTCTGCTCGTTTTGGTGGGCGGCGGGATGGCGCAAGCCTCATGAGCAACACGGCCGCGTACGAATGCAAGCCGTAGCTATCATTGCGCCTGAAATTGCACTGGAATGCGAGGGACTTGTAGGGAGACGTGGTATCACGAGGGGCGTAAAACAAGGGCTTGGTTTACTAGCCACCTTCGACGACTCATACTCGAATTGTGCGTGTTCCAGAAAAACCAACGGGACGTAATGGGCAGGCTCGTTTGCTAACCCGTGGGGACGTGTAAGGAGATTGGCGAGTATCGAATATTTGTCATTCCCAATGTTATTATTTCCCTCGCCGTCCTCATTATCCTCACCGTACTCCTCACCATCATCGTCATCATCAGTCTCGCCCTCGTCTCCATCATCGTATGTGCACTCGTGTTCGGCGTCCGCCGGTCATTCACGTTTCCTCTCGGCCTCTTTATCTCTCTTGTTGGATTCTATATTATGTCTCTCTCTCTCGCTCTCCCTCTCTCTTCCCCTTTCCCCGATCGATCCCCTGGGCCACCTAGCTGCGCACATCACGCCCCACGATGCGCGACGCGCAGCTATCTTCGTTCCCTAACGCCGCCATCTGGACAACAGCACACTCTCTGGCCCAGGCCGCGACGCGCGAAGCGCAGCTATCCTTGCGCCCGTTCGGGCGGCCGGGATCCATCGTTGCTTCGATCCTTCTTTTCGTATCCAACCCTCGCGCTCACTCGCACTTTTCCTGGGTATTCTCCATGAGCCTATGAACCTCTCTCTGCAACGCAGCCTGAGGCCCCTCAGCTGCAAGCGCGCGCCATACCGGGGCGCGCTGGCTGTCGATTCGCGAGCGGCACATGGAGTCCGTCACGGCCTGCAAGCGGAGAGGTCGAGAGAGAAGCAGGGAGCACGCTACGACTTGCGATGGGGTTGACAGGGCACTCAAGCACCTGCAGATCTAGGAGAAGGGGCCAGCGGCATTAGCTAGTTTGTGAGCCTCCATGCGCTATGTGTAAGGCTCCTTGGATCCCAGGCACTCACCGTTTTCAGTATTGGCGAACGGGGCCACCGTCTGGCCGCTGAGGGAGCACAGAGACGTCGCCGCCGATGGCCGCCGCCGCCGTTATTCTTCGATTTCGCCGTCGTCGCACAAGGAGGAGGAGGACGAGGAGGGGAAAGAATGCACGTGGCCATGGGGCAGGTTCCACGACTCGTCGGCCACGGGCCAGACCTGTTTTAATGTATGAAGGATTAACATGTGGAGTCGTCGACGGGGACGACGTTGATGAAGTGGACCGGGCCGCGCTTGACGCTGGCCATGGCGAAAATGAAGATGGCAAGACTGCAATCCGGGATGCGTGACGCGACAGCGTCGGAGCCTTGCCGCACAGCATAGATTCTCGCCTCTGGTGAGGCCCCCCGCATGTCGTATGGTTATCGCCTGGGGCCTCGATCCCAGGCTAGGTCGCGGTGGCGCTGTCATGATGCCAATCTTCAGGGCGATTGTGAACTGGTCCAGGAGCAGGGATGCTGCGCGAGGCCGTCGCCGTCCATCAAATGGCACCACAGGTGGAACGCGTTCTGGGGCTGACTCTGTGCGGGAATGAAGCCGTGACTCGCGAGGCCAAGGCTGTCAGTCGGCTCCTGGGAGACGCCCTTTGGGTCTGAGGAAATGTCCTCTGGGCCCTGCGGGGCTCATCCTGAACGCGTGCTGTACCAGCAGCAGCGCTTCATCGCAATCGGATGACCGAGGTGCACCGCGCAGCTGCCGCCAGCTCCTCTGCCCTTGCCATATGCTGTGCCATAAACCTGTCCGCAGACCACTTCAACGCCTCCGTTGGGCAGCTGCGGTGTTGCTTCAGCATGCGGCGCCAGTAGAAGAACTTGACCACCCGCCACACCATGCGCCGCCGATTGTGCCCAGGGGCCGCGCGATCGCTCTCCGAGCCACGGCCCAAGGGCTTCTAGCGGCGAAATGCGCATGATGCCCGAGGGGTCCAGATCTATGATGACTGCCAGTCGCCCGCGCTGCAAGCAATGACTGATGGTGTCCGCCGAGTGCTCGCACTGCACCGCGCGAGGGTATCGCGTCGGTAACACGCGCGTCAAGGGGCCAAACGCAGTAATGTGTCAAGCAGCTCGCGCCCACGTAGACACCCCTAGACTTCGCTGGAAACTCTCTTAGCGTTAGCCCGTACGAGTGCCAGTAAAGAGGAGGGGCGAGGACCGAGGGAGGGAGAAAAAGAGAGAGAGAGATAATCCACACACATGTGTGTATATATATATACAGACGACAGACAGACAGAAAGACCAACAAACAGAAAGACGGACAGACAGACAGTCAGACGTACATACATAAATGAATGAATACAAATCTGCATACGTACATACATACACGTATACATGAGAACAAACGTCTATACATACGTCCAAACATACATAATGACATACATACAGACAGACATACACACAGATAGACAGACAGACAGACGCTCGGCCTCCTACGTTGCCGGGGCGCCCCCCACCCACGCCTCGAGGGCGCGCCCCAGCCGCGCCTGGGGAACGAGGGGCATGACCCGGAGAAGAATTGGCGCGCCGCCGAGCGCCCAGGCAGAGGAAGTGGAGGAGGAGGAGGAGGAGGAGGAGGAGGAGGAGGAGAGGGCGGAAGCGCCGCCCCGCGCCAGACAGACAGACAGACAGACAGACAGACAGACAGACAGACAGACAGACACACAGACAGACAGACATATGTACATGCATACACGTACATACGTACGTACATAAATACAGAGAGAGAGAGAGAGGGACGACTGATCCAGGCGAGGGACCCAACAATAGGCAGGCGTGAGTACCGCAAGGCAGGTGGGACGAAGGACGGGGAGCTCCCCATTGGGCCAAAAGCGTGAGGGGAATGCCCAAATTGGGACGTGCCACCATGCAGGCGCTGGCGCTGGCGCCGTTGGTGGAGCTCCCGATTAGGCCACGAAGCATGGCCATGCGAACGCTGACATTTGGGCCTTACTTGGAGCTCCCTGTGGGGCCACGAAACGTGTGGTGGATGTGCCGAAATGAGGCCGCGCCGCCATGCGAACGCTGGGATGTGGGCCTTAGATGGAGCTCCCTGTGAGGCCACGAAACGTGCGAGGGGTGTGCTGGAATGAGCCGGTGCCGCCATGCGAACGCTGGCATTTGGGCCTTCGCTAGGGTTCCCTCGTGGGGCCACGAGACGTGCGAGGTGTGTGTGTGTGTATGCAAAAGTGGGCACGCGGAGGGTAGAAGCAGGGAGGGAAGGAGTGGGTTGGGGGGAGGACGAGACAAGACTCGGGGCGCCCTGCCTCTTCAAAACGAGGGCCCAACACCACAGACTGGTTAAAAAAGGGGACAAGGCAACGTAACGGTTCCAAGAGTCATGTTCAAGAGGGGACGGGGCGCCCAACACCCGACCAAGCCGTCGAGGTGGACACCTCGTAACGTCGTCGTTGGCTCCAGGGTACGCTCTACCTGCCTACCTGGTATTTTCTCTGCGACTAGATCACCGCGACAACATAGCATTACTGACGCAATGCCTTCCCTAGCTCATTCTAGGTTATGCAACTTTTCAATGGTAGACACATAGCTTGGTGCACGTGGATTGTCTTTGCCGAAGCACGTACGTGCCTTTCATGCACTGCGTTTCCACACACCTGGCCCACACCTTCCCCGCGACAAGCACGTCGCATTGCCATAAGCCACTCATACATCCACGTTCGATGATTCGTTTAAATGTCCTGACATCTGCGGGTGCAACAATGAGGCCCCTGGAGCCTTCCAAAGTTCCCCCTTCGGGGCCCAAAACGGAGCAACAGCAAACAAGAGGAAAAGCAAACCGAAAATGAGGGGTAGGAGGCGCAGGCTGGGGAATCGCCTGTCCGAGCTGAGAAGACGGTCGAATAGCTCGTCGGCGGAGAGATCCCGCATGACGCCCGAGCCGAGCACGCTGTCCTCGCGACGAGGAAAAGAGGCGCATGTGAGGCCTTCTCCTCCTGATCCTCCTCCAATGTGTCCTCTTATTCTTCCTATTACTGTTGTTAGTATCAGTATCATTCGTATTCTTACTGTTATTATTAATGTTACTATTCTAATAATAAGTATTATTATAATCATTACTATTGTAAGTTATAATTTTTAATTATGAATATTATCACATTATTATTATCCTGATTATTTTTATTCGTCTTCTTCTTTGTCTTATTAATATTCTTCTTCTTCGTGTTAGCCTTATTATTCTTATTGGTAGTATTATTGGTATTGCTCTTAGCATGATTATTGCTACTTTTCTTCTTCTTACGAATATTATCCGTTGTCTTTTTGTTTGTCCTCCTCTTCCTTCTCCGCCTGGCTTCTCATTTTTCCTCCTCCCGCCCGTCCTGGCCCGACGGCGCTTCGAGGTGCACCCACAGCCGAGGCCGAAGCCCGAACTGAAGCGCACAGAAAATTGCAAAGGGCCCACCCGGCAGGCTTGGTTGCTGGTACATCGTTGGGCGGGGCCGCAACACCCCGTTGAACACAGGCCCCTTCCCAGACCATCAGTCACAAACGTCGGGAGCTCCCCTTCTGCCGTGTGCTGTTTTGTTTTCTCTTGTGTTGTCTTGCTCTTCCCTCGGTCTTGCTTTTCTTCCCTGCTGCTGCTGTTGCCTTCCCGTCTGGCTCATAGAATATCGAACTCTTCGCAGTCTGGTTTCGCACGCCGCCAGGCTTGGACGCGTCGGCCACCGCCACTGTCGCTGTCGCCTTCGCTCGAATCGATGGCCCTGACCTGGGGGAAGCGGCGGCAGTGGCAGTACCGAAACGCTCGGGATCCACTGAAACATGCGGGTGCAAACCCCACTCGTTTGGCTGATGCTGCGTGTGTGGGAGGGCCTGTAATCATGGGAGGCTACAGCACAGCTCATCGATGTGCTGTAAACCAAATACACAAGGCATGCCCTTTCAATTTTCTGCGCGTTTCAGCTTCGGTTTCGGCTTCACCTGTGTGTATCGCGAAACGTCCGCGGTTCAGCTCACCCGAATCGGTTCCTCCGCTCGCATGGGTGCTCCCCCTGTCTTGTCTTGTGTTGTCTTCCTCTCCCCGTCGGCCTTGCCCCCCCTCCCTGCTGATGTTGTTGCTCCCCCCACCCGGCTCAGAGAATATCGACTTCCTCGCATTCTAGCTCTGCGCGCCGCCAGGGTTGGACGCGTCGGCCACCACCAATGTCGCTGTCGCCGTCGCCCGAGCCAGTGGCCCTGACGAGGGGGCGGCGGCGGCACCGGTAGTTTCGAAACGCTCGGTGCCCAGGCAAGCAGGAGGGTGCACACCCGATTTGGCGTGGCTGATGCTCAGGGCGGGACTGTGGCCAGGGAAGGATGCACAACCGCTCAGCGATGAGCTGTCAACCAAGCCTGCAGGGTGGGCCCGTTCGGGCGGGCCCTTTCCATGTTTCTATGCATTTCAGCTTTGGCTTCGACATCAGCTGTGGGTGCACCGTGAAGCGCCTTCGGGCCAGCTCACCCGAGTCTTCTTGCCCGCCCGAACGGGTGCTCCCCTCCTCCTCCTACTATAATCCCCCGTCGTCCTCCACATCGTCCTCCTCCGCATCCCCCTCCTCACCATTACCACCACCAACAACAACCACAACAACAGCAGCAGCAGCAACAACACCACAACCAACATCAACACCACCAACAACAACACAACTCATATTAAGACTGTTCGCTCTTACCTGCTCGCGTGCCATGCAACACGTTTATCCCAATCCCTCGATCCCCCCCCTCTTCGTCTTCGATCGTACCCCCTTAAGGTTAGATTTGTCTTCCCTGCATCGTGTATTTCGTGTAGCCCCTAAGACAGGGGCAGAGAGGACGGATGGAAGGAAGGGACAAGGGGGAGGGAGGAGGATGGGGCACGAGAGAGTGTAGCAGGCGGGGGCTAGGGGCAAAAAGCACGTGGCAACACCAGACGGGCACATCGGGGGGGGGGTAGACCCTAACAGGCGGGTCGGGAAGGCGGGCCCAGGCGGCCAGGTCGAGCGGGCGGGTTGCTGAAGCGTGCGTACTGCATGAGTCGCTCGGAAATCTCGAGCGATAGCGCGATTTCCAAATAAATCGTGAACAAATCCAACAGCGGGAGCGTGATTCCTGAGTGTCGAGGGCGCGGCATCTGAATAAACTGCGAGGAAGTCCAACGGGGAAGCGCGATTCCTGCATAATTTGTAAGAAAGCACGATCTGGGAATAAATCGTGAGGACATATCAGGCGGAAACCGCTGTTGTTGTAAACCGGAGACCAGTGGCGCAGTTTGGTGACACCTCGCTTTCCCTTGAAGAAATGGGTGCGAGCCCCAGGAGACGCACTTTAATTGAAAAAGAGAATGGGTACCGGGAAGGGGGCATTAACAACAATCATTCGTCAGAAATGCGAATTCAACAACAACAACAACAACAACAACAACAACAACAACAACAACAACAACATCAACATTAACAACAACAACGACGACGACGACGACGACGACAACAACAACAACAACATTCCCAACCATCCTGCGTTGGGTACTCGTTTCGAATAGAGAGCTGCGGTCACTTATCTGTGGGGCTGCGATATGCGAAGCTGTCGCCATTTCCGCGGGCTGCTGGGGGGCCCAGCGGAGTGAGGCACCACGCAGACTCAAATTACACCTCGCCATCCCTGGGGGGCGGCGATCTGCGAAACTGTCCCCACATTCGAAGGCTGCTGGGTGGCTCAGCGGGGCGAAGCACCACCCAGACTCACACTAGACCTCGCGAGCCCTGGGGGGGCTGCAATCTGCGAAAGTGTCGCAAGTTTCGGGTGCTGCTGGGGGGCGCAACGGGGTGAGGCACCACCCAAACCCTGATAGAACCTCGCCATGCTTGCGGGGCCGCGGTCTGCGAAACCGTCGCCACTTTTGAAAGCTGCTGGGGGGTTTAACGGGGTGAGGGACCACCCAGACTCAGACTAGAACTTGCCATCCCTGTGGGGGTGCGATGTGCGAAAATGTCACATCTTTCGAAGGCTGCTGGGAGGCCCAGCGGAGCGAGGCACCACCCAGGCTCTGACTAGACCTCGCCATCTCTGGGTGGGCGCGATCTGCGAAGCTGACACCACTTCCGAAGTTTGCTGGGGGGGTCCGCGGGGTGAGGCACCACCCAGACTCAGACCAGACATCGCCATCCATGGGGTGGTGAAGGGGGGGGGGGGATCTGCGAAACTGTTGCCACGTTTGGAGGCTGCTAAGGGGTCCAGCGGAGTGAGGCACCACCCAGACTCATATTGGACCTCGCCGTCCTTGGGGCTGGTCGATCTGCGAAGCTGTCGCCACTTCCGAAGGCTGATGCAAGGGCTCCCAGCTTCGCGCTTCGCGCTGCGCGAAGCGCGAAGTGCGAATAACTTCGCGCTCTCGCGCCGCCTCCCAGGGGAGAAGAGGAGGAAGAGGAGGAATCGAAGCCGAACCGCGAAGCGCGAAGCGCGAATAACTTCGCGCCCTCGAGGGCGCCCTTGCTGATGGAGGGTCCAGCGAATTGAAGCACCACCCAGACTCAATTGGCTTGCCGTCCCTGGGATGCTGCAATGTGCGAGCGTGTCGCAATTTTTGCAGGCTGTTGGGGGCCCCGTGGGGCGCTGTCGCGGACCGCCCGCAGACATGACGACGAGCCTTCAGGCGTTCAGCTCCCGCACGGGAAACAGGAGAAAGGAAGCGGGGAAGCGGGCGGGTGAGCTAGGCTTCGCTCGCTCCTTGCACTAATTATGAGCAGCTTGATGATTTTTGTCGGGCGTCGCGGCGACATGGCGCAGGCAGCGTGGCACATTTAGAGTACTACCGACAGAAACAACACTCTTCGGTCTGCTCCGGTCACTTTAGTCGTCGTACCCTGCCCCTTGCCACCTGCCCTCTGCTGCTGCCGCGCTGGCGGGTCGGCCCCCCGCGCGTCTTTTTCCTGCCCTTCGTTCCCGCCCCAATGTCCCGCTCAAGCCTGGGCCCCCGTTTCTCGCCCTTCTGCGGTTGCCATGTGAGTCGTACCACGTGAGCGCATCCCCTTTAGCTTGCACATAATATGACGACGACTGCACTGTCATTGCCCTGGCAAGCTTGGGCCACCTCCTCTCATCACTTGATGCAGATGGGTTGGGTACGCCCCAGGGTAATTTGAGTCCCAACCCTCCTGCGTTGGGTACTCGTTTTGAATAGCGCATTGCGCGTGCGTCTCCTTGTCCTCCTTTCCGCCTCCCTCCTCCGCTCATCTTTTCTACCTGCCTCTTCCCTCGCCCCCTCCTGCGTGCCAGCTTGCTTCCTGCCTGGTCACCCCTGCGGGGCTGCGATCTGCGAAACAATCGCCACGTTTGAAGGCTGCTGGGAGGCCCTGCGGTGTAGGCACCACCCAGACTCAGATTAGACCTCGCATTCCCTGGGGGGGGGGGGAGCGATCTGTGAAAGTGTCGCCACAATCGAAGGCTGCTAGGGGTCCAGCAGGATGAGGCACTACCCTGATTCAGATTAGACTTCGCCGTCCCTGGGGAGGTGCGATCTGCGACACTTTCGAGGGCTGCTGGGGGGGGTCCAGCGGAATGAGGCGCCACCCAGACTCAGATTAGACCTCGCCATCCCTAAAGCGGCTGCGATCTGCGAAACGGTCGCCACTGTCGAGGGCTGCTGACGGGCCCAGCGGAATGGCACCATCCAAATTCAGACTAGACCTCGCCATCCCCGGGGGACGGGGGGGGTCTGCGATCTGCGAAACTGTCGCCATGTTCAAAGGCTGCTGGGGGGCCCAGCGGAGAGAGGCACGACCCAAACTCAGACTAGACCTCGCCAGCCCTGGGGGCTGCGATCTGCGAAACTGTCGCCGCTTTCCAGGGTTGTTGGGGGCCCAGTGGCGTGAGGCACCACCCACACTCGGAGTAAACCTCGCCAGCCCTGGAGGGCTGCGATCTGCGAAACTGTCGCCACT